TAAAACCAGCTTATCTACATAATCTACAGACGTACTTCCAACTAACACTGCTTTAATTAGTGTAATGATAAACAAGTGAAACAACCATTAACCGGTATTTTGTGTTTCCTAAGTTGTGGTTAACGTATTAGTATTGTATTTGTAGTTTTTCGTTTAATATTTAAATGACGAAACTGTTTATTTCACACTAATATCAATGCTTTGAGTGTATTCTGTAATTTACTTCATGGTTTACATGTATTTATTCTACTGCTCATTCCTTCTGAATGTTTTCGAGCTTGTTTACAAATATCACTCGGATGTTATTTAATTTGTACTTATATATAGCAATATTTCTTATTTTCAGGCTTCGCTGATGATGGAAGAAGTGTATTATGAAATGTTAGACGAGTGTAAAAAGTACTAGAATGATACAAAACCGTCTACAGCGTACTACAGTGTGAACACTGTGACCATGTACTGAATTTCGACCATGATTTTCCTTATGTATCGATTTCATTAAATTATGACGATAGTTAAATAGACAAGAGTAGTAGAAAATATTTAAGTAGTTTTTTATTTAAATTCTGTAAGAGGCTCGCCACAAGACAGCGACATCTTTTTTTTTAAAGAACTTGTGTGTTCTGCACTTCAATATGGAAGCACTTTACACATACCCATGTATTTGGTACTTTAAGCCTATGTAGCTTAGCTTAAAGCTGTGCCTGCAGTCTATTTTGCACATGGAATTAAATGGAAAGTTCTACAGTTTTATGTTGGGAAAAGCTAATGTGAACTTATATGATCTGAAAAATCAGCCAAAATATACACTTAATATGATTTATTTATTATAGGAATATAGCTACGAAAACGTAACGAAAGAAAAAATCTCCATTTGAAACTTGCGTCAAAATTTACCGATTGAAACTTGTATGTATGTTCTAGATAAATAATTATAATTCTTGATGACAAAAAGGATTTTTTATTTTATTTCTAGTATCAAGGGACTGAATTGCTTAACGTAATAGGCCTGGTTTGAAGGTATTATTTTGTTATAACACTGGTTAATTAATCAAGATAATTAACAAATGAAAGATTAGAGAAAATAGTGAAATATCTTTAGTGAAGTTTAAAACAATAGATGTTTGTATTTTATAATGGCTCCTTTATCTCCGTAGTTTTAATAATAGTTTAGTTAATTGGTTAAATATAGATATTGGTAAGTGAAATAAAAAATTTATCAAAGCTTATACGCAGTTAATAGTGAGCCTGTTTGTAATTTAATTGAAATAAATTATTTATGTTTCCCTTGCAGCATGTTGTCATTATTTATTTACAATTCAAAAACAAACAGACTAAACAATCAACATTACATTATTGCATTATTTGTGAAACGTTTTGGATGAGCTAATGTTTTACCTGACATTACATTTATTACAATAATTGAATATGCCCCTTAATTGCATATACTTAACGTAAAGGTAAACTTTTAAACTTTTGAAAATGTGATAAGTGACATACATTCACAAATACAAATTGAAAAATTGTAAAAAGTAAAAAACAAACAAAGAAATCAAACAAATTAATTGAAATAACCTTTATGCGAACCAATACAATTCATATTCACAATATAACTTTGTTGAAAAACTGGAAACATCAGTAAATGTTGTATTTTACAGGATTGTATAGTTAATCACTTATCAGGTTCGTGAAGTTTTATCAACTGTGCAAAAAGGACCTGAGTAACATAAATATATAATTTTAGTTGTTTTAAATATCAATAACACAAAGCACAAATTTAATTGTTTACAGCTTGAAATTGGAGATTGAAATACAAAACTCAAGAAGTCTGATAACTGAGTATTCAAAGTCCCGTGGTACTTAATACCTAGGAATCGACAAGGATTCCAAATAATTTAAGCGCGAAAAATCATCCTATCGAATTCCTAAGCAAAAAACCGACCATTCAAATTATTGGTTACGATTTATTATGCACATCTATACCAATAAAATGCTAAAAAGGTCACTAACATTTCCGGTATAACAATTCACAAATTTCTAAAACAGCAGCTTTTCTGTCTACTACCTACCTGATCACGTCAGTGGGGCTAGCGCCAAGATGGCTCAGACCATCGATACAAGGTTTCTCCAGCTTACTTGATGGTCTGTGTGTATCTGCTTTTGAGACTCCGATAAAAATCCATATATATATATACAGGTATAATATAAATGGTAAACATAACATGCACGTATTTAAATATATTTTCAACTCAATTCAACCCAACAGATGGCGCTACATATCGACAGTTTCTAAAGTTAAAGTATATACTTTATACAGGTATAACATAAAAAGTAAATAAACAAGAGTATTAACATTTATGAATTTTAAAACGAGGTAGAGATCCTGCTGCAAAAATTAATGAAACACGAATTAAAACCCCAGACACTAATTTATAAAATTTAATCCTTACTTTGGCAGCTTTATAATTTTCTGTTGGCCAGAGTAAGGATCAAATTTTATAAACTTGTGATTGTGGATTTAATTCATTTTAAAGGTTATAGCTATCAGAGATATGGCTACACTGAAAGTTTACAGATGTTGTATTCATTCCAAAAATGAACAAATAAATAAGAAAATAAAATAAAATTTTAATGAAAAGTAGGGATCATTAGATATGCGTAGAACGGCTATAAGAATTATCCAAAACAAAATATATGCTGCAATAAAAAGTACAGAAACAAGTAAAATGATACTAGTTGGATAGATTTTGAAAGTAGGAATTAAAAATCGTTTTAAAACCTATACAACTAGTAACTAGTATTAATTCATATTGTAGCTTTGTATGTATGTATGTATGTATGTCTAGCTAACTCATATAACAGTTCTGGGGATAACAGGACCAGACTTAGCTGGAGGACTCGGGATAGCTACCAAATGGGGTCAAAATGCTCTTGGAACGTCATTCAAGTATGATTTTGTCCTCCTGGCCTCCATCAAGACGCCTAGAGCACCATGTTTGAAACTGTGTTCATATCCTCACTAACAATTTAGCTCTTAAAGTTAAGTTAGAATAAAAATATAAACGAAATTAGAAATAAAATTTGGCAAAGAGTGATTTGCGTACGATGTCATGAATGACAACAATAGAGGCGCAACAACCAAAAACATACTCAAAATCTATGGAACATACACACGTTCAGTGGTAGAGTATGTCTGCCCAGCATAGCTAAAAGTAACCAAATCATATATACATAAGATACAGACAATCCAAAATTTAATAATTACCAAAGTAAACAGAGCTCCTAGATACACAAACACAACCTTCGTACACAGTTATGTAAACATCCTCATGTTGTCAGACAGACTCCAAAATAGATCAATAAATTACTTCTACAAAACTCGTAACAAAAATACATTATTCAGAACCCTGAAAAACATTATCATGCATGATGAAATAGACCTAAGTACTTCTGACCACTAAATATAGTAAACTCTTTATGTAACCTATGGCCACCTACTACTACTAGGCAAACCAGTAGCTAGAAGGGTTTTACATGTAAAAATAAGATTAGTGCTGCATGTTTTTCCATCGATACTTATGGAACTGTTTGTGTGAACAAAACTTTATGTTGACAACAAACGAAAAAAAAGCAAAATATTTACCAAAAAACAAGAAAAATCTACGTTATACATTCATGGACATGGGCTGAAAGGGGCTACTCGCGTGTGCCAACGAACAATTGTAGCGCGAATGAAGTAGCTGCATGATGTAATAACGGGTCTTCCTAGTTACTGGGCCGAATTATACCGGAGTACTGATCTGGGCTTCATCCATAACAGTAAAAAACTAAACCAACTGTCAAAGACGGAGGTAAAAGTCCAGGTTGTACCTGATCCTCACAGGTCACTTGAACAAAAGATCGACCAGAGATCCAAGAGTCGACAATCTAGTGGGGTTAATCTTAGCACACGTACTCGGTATCACGAACAAGTGTCTTAATGAGTTTGAGTTCTTCATGTATACAGAACCTCTCTTGGAGTAACTACAGAACGAACTGTGGATAGTGAAGGAGTTTGATCGTTACAGTGTAGCTTCAGTGAATCATGATAGGGGTTTTGAACCTCGCAGCGGAGCACGGACACGTTTGTTAGTTACTATAAAGTATTCAATTTTGTGTAACATATTAAAACGATTAATAAGTCCTACATATAAAGATATATTGATATGTATACTTGTATAGAAAAACAACAACACAAATTACAGAAAATATTAAATATAAACTGTTTATGTATTGGACAAACACTAACAATAGTGGTTGAAAGTTTGAATTTATGCACAAAGCTACACAATGGGCTATCGGTGTTCTGCCCACCACGGGTATCGAAACCCGGTTTCTAGCGTTGTAAGTCCGCAGACATTCCGCTGTGCCACTGGGGGGGCATGTGGTTGAAAGAACGAACAGAATCTATACAGAAGTATTTTGTTCTTTTCCCTATGAACATTTTAAATCATAACTTAAACAACTTAATTTTAGTTAAGTTGTACAGAAATAAGATATTGTTTTACAAAAACAACTTAAGCTACGAGCCTCATAACTGTTTGAATATGGTCTGCCTAAATATGTTTTTACATTTTTATTAAATGGTTTCTAAAATAAAAATAGTTAGAAAGAAAACGTTCTGGTTCAAACACATTTTCTAATCGACCAACCATGCTATAAAATAATGGCTTTTGCTGTATTCAAGGTACGGAAGTGGTGCTAATTGAGGCAGGATGCACGTTACATTATAAGATATATATAGATATGAGAGAGTGCTTTCACATTTCACGCGCGCACGTAGATATTTCATTTGCACGTGATAAATCTAATGTGCGAACACGTCTGTTGTCATAGCAACTGTGTTATTTGGCTGTCAGCTGTTTGTAGCAAATCCCTTTCTTACGACCTGTGGATTTGTGGTACAACTAGTGGCACTTGTGGAGTTGATCCCTCTTCGCTGTTTAAAGAGAGAGCAGCCATGAGCTGCCGGCTAGGAGAACATTTACGTAACTATTTATACTAAGCACAATGTATGCTCGTACGTCATTTGGACGTTGACATAAAACTCCTGTGTCGAAAGTTTTTCACCAGTCAGCAATCCGATCAGAGTTACATTAAGCCTTGCTTGAACTGGCAAGCCAAAGAGAATATTTGAATTATAACATCAACGCTGCCCTGTGCTAATATTTCTGAACACCAGAAGGTAAGACCTTGTCCCGTTAAGCACATCCTATGCTCGTGTTTTATATATATATGATTTGCGTATTGCAACTGGTAAAAACGCTTCTTTTTGATTGAATTAAATATAAAACTATGAATACAGTTTACCACCATCATAGCTCAAAGATCCAGTAAAAGAAAAAACAAATAAAAAATCGAGTAAAACTGGTTGAAAATGAAATGATATTACTTTTTTTTTGTCAGATAAAATGTGTTTGAAATGAGTGGCTTATAGATATTGATTTGAAAGAGAATGAACTCGAAAAATTTATAATTCTATAGTTTTTTGAGGTCTTCATAACCTATCTTTTAAGTTTAGATACAAATACATTTTCGTTCGCAATTAATTGTAATAATACTTCAAATACCTGAAAATTAATCCTAGTTAATTTTATAAAAAATTTCGTCGTTGGATACCATTTAATTTTCTTATAATATTTCGTTTCACACAATTCAACACAATGTCATTGATGCAAATATTTTTAGTGACCTTCAAACTTTTCAAGTGCTCTTACTACTATTATTCGGTACTTTATACGAAACACATTATATTTTTATTTTCCAATAAAAATGTTGTTGGCTTATAAACCATAGTTATAGTACTGATATCTTATATGTCAACACTGACTTACATCCAAAAGAGCAGCAGTTTTCATAACTTAATATCATAAACGGTCAATAAATCTGGCAAAATATTCATCTACATTTGTTTGTCATTTCTAGATTTTTAACTTAAAGTGTAATGGGGAACGTTTCATAATGCGTAAAGCTTCAAAATATCGCAATATTACGTGTTGTTATCAATTGTCATTAAAAGAAAGGAAGAGGGATGCATTTATTGGTGATTCTGTAATCAAAGGTGGCGATATTGTTAGACGTAAGCAAAATGTCCGCTTTCTTTGTGTTAGAATAAGTATAGTTTGAAAGAACGGTAAGGGCCCAATTTAAGAATTAATGCGTCCTTCCTCCTTAATTTGATCCTTGAGGTTTCTCACTTTTAACAGGAAAAATAAAATAACGCCGTGAACTTGGATGGAAAAGGTCCTACTTTTGTGCTTAAATTCGCCAAATTTAACAAAATTGACGTTTTAAGGGGTTTTCTTTAAACCTCGTATCTAGGAAACTAAACTAAATTCATTGGTTGACTTCATATGAAACGTGATTAAACTAAATTCATTGGTTGATTTCGAATGATACATGATTAAACTAAATTCATTGGTTGATTTCGAATGACACATGATTGATGTGATTGCTCCATTAACTCTTGATGGGCTGCAGCGTACTTATTAGGGTTCTTTTTTTCTTTTTCTTTGTAATTACGTACAAAGCTACACAATGGGCTATCTGTGCTTTGCCCACCACGGGTAGCGTTGGAAGTCCGCAGGCATACCGCTGTGCCACTGGGGGCACTTATTAGGGATAATAACAACTTGATAATTCCATAACACCAGATAAGTCAAAGCATATAAGAGATTACCCTTTCGCTGTAGAATCATAACACCAGATAAACTATCGTAACTGTTCTAAAAAACAATCTTCCTTACTGTAAAAGCTGAAACTTGTAATAAAATAATAGTTAATCAGTAAGTAAACTCAAAATGAAACAAGATAGTAGCAGTTACTAGTCGATTTGTACAGTGGCTATGGATCCCATTATGATTAGATGACTCAAGTACTAGTCGATTTGTACAGCGCCTATGGATCCCATTATGATTAGATGACTCAAGTAC